GGGGAAAACAAACAACAAAAACAGGCACAAGGTTGCCCTGGACTTCCCTGAGAGCTCGTCTGGCTCCATCCTGCAGTGAAATGGGGATCTCATGAGAGGGCACTCGTGGCCAAAGAGGACTCTGTGCTCCCCATGTGCAAAGGGCCTGGAGGACTCGGGTCAAATGAAAATTTGAGCCCTTCATGGTTTCCCTCTGCAGAATTTGTCTCCAGTAGAAGAGACTGAAAAGAGTGATGAAGAAAAGAAAGGGACAAGAGAGGCAACATTACCAGGCAGATGGGGTGTGTTTTCAGCTTTGTCCACTGGATCTGAAAAGATAAAGTTGAGGTTACAAGGGTTATTTATCTTTGCATTGGAAAGTTTCAGAAACTGCAGGAAACCACCCGAGTCCAAACTTTGAGCCCTGTTTCTCTGAGAAATGTCCACAATGTCTCACTGTATCCAGGTCAAACAGAGACACAGACAAGACATTCCAGACATCAGATCTACAAACCCAGATGAGCTTTTGGATCTCAGATATCGTCACGAGTAATAGATATTCTGCAGGTCAAATTCTGTTATGGAGAACACTCCTGGCCTTGCAGAGTTTACACCCAACTGCTGCTGTGACTGGAGGTCAGGCAAGTCTTTTGAAGACTGTGCACAAACCAAAAGGCTCCATTTTATTTTCATACAGCAACGCTCACTCTGCAGTTCTTGTAGGAGGGAGAACAAATGTTTGTTACTAAACTAAGCAGATCTGACTCTAAAAACAGAGCACATCAGATGAGTAAGACAAACTCATTTTTATTGTCACTTGGCAGAGTAGAACCATATTTCTTTTTACAGAAAGTCTCTTCAACATCCTAAAAACTTTCGCGTTCATGGAATGCAACTATGGTTAGTACCAACTGCAATTAAGCAACCTGGCAGTTCATATCAGCTAAAAGAAAGACATTTTTTGCTTTAAAAAGTACAAGGAGGAAGGATTTACAAGAGCCCAGTGTGCAAAGTGCACAATCCCAATGATCCTGCCTGTGAACAGTAACTTCACCCATCTGAAGGGGCCCTGGAGCAGCCCCCTGCTCACCCTGATGGAGGCCTTGTTGCAGTAGACACGGGTGATGGCCAGCCAGGTGGGCAGCTCCAGCACATTCTGCAGCACCTCCTCATCCAGCTCCAGGTTGGTGAGCTGCCCCTGACCCTTCAATGTGCTCAGGTTGATTTTGTCCGGGGAGAGATTCTTGGTAAACCTACAAGAGAAGAAAGAGGAGACTCTAAAAACAGCCCCCAGCGAAGCTACTGAGGCTGCAGGAGCATTTCAGAGCTATTTTAATACCAGAGTCCGTTTGCTGTTTCGTTAAACCCCTTCTGACATTTTTAAACCCCAGGCATGTTGGTTGCTCCAGAAAAAAAACATCTCCACACTTTGACATTTGAGGGACTTTTTTGTTTTAAACCAAGTCCAACTCTGAGAAACTGAAAGTTCCTTCTAAAGCTCTGGATCCTGGAAACCAGCAAAACTGCCCTAGGACAAAACAAAAGAAAACCAAAGCCCAACTGCAACAGCTCAGCAGTTTTATCCTCCCAGAACTGCGACGTCAGCAGTGAGCAGTTTAATTCTCTAAATTCTTTTCACCCAGGAAAGCAAAAGATCATCAGTGTTTAAACACACCCAGGAGGGTGGTGGAGGTCAATCCGGCTTCTCAGCATCTGTACCAAGAAACTGCATGTTCTGGAGTGTGTTCCAGCAGGTGCTCTGCTGGCTGGGAGCTGCAGGGGTTCACAGAGTGGGTGATTAGTGCCTGGAGTCCTGCTGGGAGCACCCACAACCCCAGACACGGGGGAGAATCAGAGCAAACACCTCCAGAGGCAAACACGAGCATCCTTTGTTGCGTCAGAGAACCAGCTCTGCTGAAAGCTGATGGCACCGTGTCCACTTGGGATTGGGTACTGGGAATAAAGCAAACACAGCCCGGACAGGTGGGTGACACAAAGCCCTTAAGCTCCCAGGCTGCTGTGGATCAGCAGGGATCAGCTCAGGGGGCAGAGCAGCTTTCTCACACCTGCACAGAGGGATCAGCCCTGGGCTCAGATCCTCAGCCCGGGATCAGTCTGCTCAGAGGGGAAGCTGCTTTCAGCTGGCAATGCAGGGGAAAGGCACAAGCACGTGCCTGAACCAGGGCATCACTTTTATTTAGTGTGTAGGTGTATCAAAAACACCAACAGTGGAAGAACAGCAAAGCTGTGAAACAGGACACTGCAGAGCCTGGAATGAAACAGGACCCAGCTAAAGCAAATAACTCTTTGTCACCATCTCCAGGGAAAGGCTGCAGAAATCCTGCTGGGCAGGTACCAAAACCACCACCAGTGCTACGAGACTCTACAGAAGAATCCTTTCACCAGGCATTCTAGATGCACCAAAATACAACATTCCACCCCCAAAGCAGAGCTTACAGACCTCGCTGATGTTTGGGACAACAGCAGCTGCAAGTTTTGGAAACAAAAATCTCAAATGGAAACAAATACTTTGTTTTAAACCACAGCCCAAATTCCCCAGGATATGTTGCCTATTCCCAAACCCCACTCTCAGCTCCTGCCCAGTGCAGGAATCCAAGATCTTCCATTGGAATAAACTTCACGTTTGAGCCACTTTGACCCCTGCAGTCACAGGGGGCTCACAGGGGGCCAGAGTTCTGCAAACCTGGGGCTCACAGTGCCAGGTGAGGAACCCCCGGGGTCAGTTCTGGGGAGAGGAGCAGCGAGTGCAGACAGTGGTGGATGTTCCCTGGCAGCTCCCTCCATTCACCCTCAGCCACAGCACCCTCCTGGCAGCAGGGACTGCTGGCTGAGAGAGAGCAGAATGAAAACAGTGGCTATTGGGAAAACTGACACGGGAGGATATTGGCACTTTCTTTTTATTTATTTATTTTTTTTACAACCCAAACAGAAGCCAAGCAGCACTGAGCCAGTAAACTCACAGGGCAGCACTCCTTTAGAGCCTGCTGGGATTACCCTGGCAAAAGTCAACCCTGAAAATCTATTTGCTTAATCATCAGCTTGAATATATATCAAAACACGATGTCACTGCTGAAAACAACTGCCCCATTCCTCAGCCTGCACATCCAGAGGCCACAAACCCACTGACTGCAACAGGGAGTCAGGCCCAGTCCAACTGCTGGCCCAAAGCCAGGCCAGAATCATAAATAAATTTATGTTTACATTTGTAGCTATCTCGCCACACTGTCTCCAACCAAGCAAATGCACAGACAGACAATGTCAGAAGACATCTGAAATCATAAAACTTCTCCTCAGATCCATGTCTCATCACCCTGCTGCTGCCACACGGATCAGGAACCCTCTTCTCTGCCTCAGCCTCCTCCCCACAGTTCTCCAGCCACCACCTCCAGCTCCACACGTGCATTTCTATTGACACCCTCATCACTGAGGCTGGGAGAACTAATTAGCTGTACACCAGCAACCTTGCTTTTGCTTAATGACCAGCATCCTCTCTTGGCAGAAGTGAGTGTCTGGCTTGTGACAGCAGCCACAGCTGCAGCAAGGAGCTGGAAAATCCCTCCAAACACAGGTAAGGCAGGAAGGGGAACTGGTGAGCTCCAGTGAAAACAGCCCAGCGATGCTGAGGGCCCAGGAACGGCTGCAGATCCAGGTTCTTGCCTTCACAAGAGTCACAGCAAGGGAAGAAATGAGGATTTTCTGCTTTGACTTGGAACACAGATATGTAATTAAAGTAACTGTGGCAGAAGGACAGCAATTGGACATGGAAAAAAAAACCCTCAACAACTATATTCTGACCAATGTGGATTTGCTTCTTCTCAAAACCTTTTCCAGTCCTGCCTGGTCTGGTTTTGGACAGGGCATTTAGTAGGATTTCCATCTTCCTTGGGAATCTTCTACAATTCAAAAATCTCTGTGATAGGTCACTTCACCCCACATTCAAACTTCTTATCTCAGAAGCCACAGGGCAGGTTCACTTGGACAAAATGTTCACAACTGCTAAAAGAACAGGTCAGTGACTTCCCAAATCAGGGCTACTCTCAAGGAAGGCAGCAGTGGAAGGTTTAACTGTCTGAGGATTAACTGAAAAATAACTTGGAAGGAAATAAAACTGAGCAAGTGATCAACACTTCTGTAAAAAGGGAAAAAATAGCGGCCTTGGAGACACACAGGAAGAACTAAAAGCCTTTTGAAGAAGAAAAGCCATTTTACTTCCTCGAGGTTTCCTAAAGCAGGGCCCACTCTGCCTGAGAGCAGGCACAGCTGCTCTGCAGACAAGGGCAGAGCTGCAGAGGAGGAAGAGAAACAGCTGAGTTAGCAGAGGATGGGACTGATGATTGCACTCAGCAGAGGATGGGACTGATGATTGCACAGAGATGGTGTCCAGATCTGACAGAGCTGGTGTCACCCCCACTTAGCACAAACCCATTTAGAGTTTAAGGGAATCTAATCAACACCAAACTGCCCAAGTGTTTAGGAGACAGAAAGCAGCACGTTTCTAACCCTCTCTGTATCTCCAGCTGCACACTGTGCACAGCTCTGTGTGCCCCAGAGATCCCGGGAGGCAGGAACACCTTCCCATGGGGACAGTGAGGTCCCTGCACAATCATCCTGCTCCAGTTCCACAGCAAAGTGTTCCCACAGACCCCAGGAGCAGCCTGCCCCAGGCTCCTTATCAGGGTGGATTCAGGCACACTCACAGCCCTGCACACACAGGCCACTGCTGATGGCTGTACATTATCAGCTTTCTGTTTTTCCAGGCCTCAACTGCATTGAATGAAAGGCTGGACCTCTCAGCCACCCGAAGCCAACACAAAACATCCTGATGAGTAATCAGTTGTCTTGGCTACAAGTCACCCACTGCAACCCAACATGGCTAAGGGAAAAAGGCTCAGGATTTCAATTCAAAGTTAAACTTGCAGGGGAAAAAAATCAGCATTTCCAAGCAGATAAGACAGGAGTCTGAACCATCACACAAAACAGAACATCAGTTCACTCCTCCTACAGCCTCCCTCGGGCCTCGAGGACACTTTCTTGTCCCAAACAGAAATTCCTCCAAGGGTTCTGGATGCTGAGACGCTCCAGACCAGGTGTGTCCTGGGTCCACACCCACCAGCACCACACGGGGCACCAGGAGACCTGGAAAGCAAACCACGAACCCCTCTGAGAGAAGAAGAGCCTGGGTCTCTGCCAGGGGCTGAACTCCACCTCACTGAGGGGCTGCTTTACTATTTCCAGCTCCTCAGCTGGACACTCAGTGAAGTTTAAATGCCAGCCTCCCCATGCTCCCAAAGCTGGAATGAAAACCCTCAGCAGCTGCCAGGGAATTTCCCAAGTCTAAACCTCAAGCAAATAATAATATACAAAAGGAAACTAGGAAGAAACATAAAGAATACATGCACTAGTCCAAAGCCCCACTTCATCCTGCCATCCAACCTGCAGCTCTGTTCCCAACCTGCAGAAACCAACAGGTTATTCCATCATTCACTTGGCCCAGGAGCTGCAGAGGAGGCTCAGGCAGCACAGGAGCAATGAGGAGGGTCCTGTTTGACAGCCCCTTCCCAGGGCAGAGGCTGGAGGGCTCTGGAGAGGTTCCACAGGGCCAGCACAGAGCTCTGCAGACCCCGAGCTCCAGCCACATTTTCCTCCTGAGCTACTGAAGTGCAGTTTATTTCTGCTGCAACAAGCGTCTGTTCAGCATTCCAGAAATGGCACACTCGTGTCTGGGGCTGAGGGGAAATGTCTGGAAGTGCCTTGCACCCAGCAGCTGACACATAAAACTGGCCACTCAGTTCTCCTGGCCAAGAGCAGCACAGCAACCCTGACGTTGGAGGTTACTCTCTGAGAAGGGAAAATGCCACGTCCTGTCTGTGCCCACTCCCTCTTCCCACCCTGTCTTGAACAAAGCAGTGGCAGGTATGTGCTACTGTACCTGTAGCTGGGGTTGTGTCTTGACTTGACAAGTCAATATTAAAATTGATATTAAAATTTTTAAAAGTAAAAAAAAAAAGCCATCAAAATGTACTGGGAAAATAAGAAACTTCCAAATTAAGACATGGAGTAAAGGGTTTGCATCCAGCCTCATGTGCCTTGCTGGGCACAGCACACAGGAACTCAGAGACAGCTCGTGGCCAGTGGTTTGGTGCTGGTGCAGCCACTGCTGGGACCTGACAGAGCTTCTTCCTCATAAACTGCCTCAGGGTGTCCTGCCACGAGCTGCTCCATGCTCTGGACCCACCACGTGCTCTGGGGCACCAAAGGAACCGTTCCTGGCCAAACAGCCCCTGCTGAACGGGGGGAACAGGGAAAAGTAACGGGGTTTTTATCAGTGTTTAACCGCTGGCAGCTCTGTGGTTTCATGAAGTTGCCATCGCTGCAACAGCTATTTTAGGCAAATGATCACCTCAGAGATCATCACAAAAATTTCCCTCATCACCAAAGGAGGATATTAAGGCAGCTAAAGCCAAAATTGCAAACTTGGTCTCAGTTCCAGCGAAGAGCCTCTGTCCAAGGCAGGGCTCTTGCTGCCTAAATCACTCACACTTCTGTACCTTCCTCAGGCCATTCCCAAATGCAATTTCCTTGCTTTCCTCCTTACCCACCGTGCTCGTTAAATTGCTTCCAGTTAATTCATAATCAAGGTCAGGAAGCTGAAGGTTGGTGGTGAGCACACATCTCTTACAGTGGCAGCTCTTCCAAACTCAGAGGGTGCCCGGCAGCCCTGAGGAGCTGCACGTGCCACCCTGTGACTGCAGCAAGGGCACAGCTGCAGCACAGCACCCGAGCACGCAGCCATGCTGCAAAACACATCAACAGAGCAAACAGGAACTCGGGCTCTGCTCTCTCACAGCCACGTCCAGGCTGCAGCCTTTGGGCAAGAAATCCAAGCACGGGGTCTCACTCCTGCCATTCCAGCCCCAGAGAGTCTCTCACCCCTGGCAGGATGACCACAGCTGCAATGGCCTTTCTCTGCCCTGCTTTGGCCTGAGTGCAGGGCTCTGATGGTGGGGATGGACAGGGAGCAGGAAGGGACTCCCAGTTCTGAGCAAGGAGTTCCAGAACACTCCAAGGCCCCCGTGGAACAGGCAGGGCTCGTGGCACAGCACAGGGCTGGGGCTGGGACCCGGCTCTCAGATCTTTGTGTTGGCACAGAAGTAGCACAACTGTGTGGGAGGGGCAATGCCAAAGACATCTTTAGGGCCAGGAAGGGATTCCGAGATCCTCATATCCAAGTTGGGAAGCAGCAGCCCCTGGAAGCCCCCGCAGTCCCCGCTCAGTGCTGCGACACCCACGAGTTCCTGCTGCCAGAGGGAGCTGGAACAAACTAAAGATACACCAGGGGCCCTCCCAGGCTCTGCACTTACCCACTCCCAGCAGCTCCATTAGCTGCAAGGATGGTGCAAATGCAAATGGAAGAGGGGAGAAAGCAAGGCAACCTCCCCCAGAAAAAGGGATGTGTGACCCAATCCCTGGGAATGAGGGACAGCTCCACTGAGGTGCAGCACTGTCACAGGGAGCTGCACGAGGCTCCTGGCCAAGTACCTGACCCTACACTGACAAGCACCACACTGTTACACCCTCCCAGGCTGCTCCACTGGCCTGTTCTCTAGCAGCTTTTTTTAATTCTGTTTCTAAAGCCCATCTTACTCACTCAAAAAGGTGGCTCCATACTGTCCTGAGGACAGTTTGCCAAATTCCCAGCCTGATATCCCCAAATTTCTGTGCTGCACATCTGTTCCACGCCTGCCCGGAGCAGCGGCTCCAGCTGCTCTCCTCAGCAAACAGGTCTCCTTTCCTGGGCTGGTTTTCCTCTCTGGCAACACCTATGCTGGTGTTACTTCAGCCAACTCCTCTCTCATTTCTCCCCTGCTTCCTTCTCATCCTTCTTTCAGAGATTCCCAGAGTTTCTCCTCAGTTGCAGCTCTCCAGGGCTCCTGTTACAGTGAGACACACTTGTGGTCTCCTTCCCCCTGTGGTCTCCTTCAGACCTGCCCCCGAGCCCCAGCCCCGCTGTTCCTCTGCTGACACCAGCGTTTATCTCTTGGCAGCAGCAGGGCTGCCCTGCATCTCCCCTGGGAGCCCTGTCCTGTGTGCTGGGGGATGCCTGGGACTCCACAGGCTCACACGCCTCAACACGTGTACCAAGAGAGAACGTCACAAAGCAGCTGTTGGAGGCAGCAGGGGATAAACCTTCCCCATGCAATTAAATAAGAGTAATTTTGGCAGGGATTTCCACTGCAGTGGTGGTATATGAAATAAGCTGGGGCAGTGGACTTGTGGATAAACAGCCTTTGTCCCTGAGAACAAGGATCTGCTGTGGCTGCACCGACACTGGTTAAAGAAAAAAGACAATGAGAAGAAGCTACTTTCAAACAAGACCAGGAAGAGGCAAAGGCAGCTCACTGATTTTATTTTAAAGCATCAGATGTGCTTCTGTGAATAATGACAGGCTGGTAAACACAACCACACACACAACCAGCAGCTGACAGGGCCCCTGGCCCAGAGCAGGGGCTGATCCCCGGGGGGCTCACAGGGAGTTTGGGTTCCAAACACCCTCCCTGAGAACCAGCACTGTGCCTGCCTGGAAGCAGCAAGAAGTGAAAGCACCTCATCTATTTGCTTTTCCAAGCTAAATATAGGACAAAGGAGTGAAAGGCACAGATGGTGAAAGCTCCGCAACTTTTGAGATTCTCCTGCTCTAGGAATTTAAGCTGCTAAAGCACACACAGGCTGAGCCTTCCCAAATACCTTCACAAGGGAGCAAAGCCCAGCTGTACCGGCCACCAGGGCCATCGGGTCACACACGTGACACGGGATCACACCTCATTCCCATTTCCCCGACCCTGCTGCCCCTCTCCCGACTGCTCCTTGCAAATTTCCACGGAGAGAAGGAACAAAAACACACCCCGGGCAGAATCGACTTCAAATGGAGACACAACAAGAGGAACAATGAGTTATTTCATATGCAAATGTGAGCACAAAATAAAGGTAGATTAATGATTCAGTAGCAAAATTCTTCCAGGCAAATGAGCGTGGCTGAAAGAAAACCCAAAGGGAGGGTGAAGCTGAGGTATTTAGAGGAAACAAAACCAAAACGGAAAAAACTTCATCTTTTTTATACACCATTAAATTGTGTTCAAACTGCATTTCTGCAAAACATCCACAATCCTTGTGCAAGAGAGGGGTAGGATCAGACCAAGCACCCAAAAGCCAAAGTCCAGTAGGTAAACAGACAGAGCTGCAGAATGTTTTGGGACTCCTTGTCCTCCTTGGAACTGCCCAAAGGAGACACAGGTGAACATTACCAGGCCCGACTGGAGGGAAAAAGGGGCACTTTGGGGCAGGAAAGTGCTGTAACAGTGCAAGGTAAGGGAGACCAAAAATCAAAATTAAGGAAAAGCACCAGCAAAAGTGTATTTATGTAAAGAAAGAGAATTGTCCACGAGAACAACACACGCAGGAGCAGCACCCAGGGATAAAGCCCAGCTCTGTTCCATCCTCCACTACAAACTGCTCTCACCCACCTCTCCATGGTATAAACACCTCAGTGCCTCCTGACCAGGAGGATGAATCTGCACTGAGTGTGACACGCCGGTGTGAGGTGGAACGAGACAAAACTCGGAGGTGTGGGATGTCCAAATCCCAACCCCAATGCAGAATTCCATTTAAACCAGCACCCAGAGCAACTCCATCACCCTCTGTCCAGGACAGTGCCAAGGCAGCTGGAGCACCGAGCAACTGGTGACTCTGAGCACACAGACCCTGCACCGAGCCCGCGGTGCGTGGGGACCGTGTGGGGCTCCAGGCACCCCCGGACTCAGCTCCAGCCCCAGAGGGTCGGGATTCGCGGGTCTCGCTCCAGCCCCGAAGCCACAGAGCCCGCACGGGTCACTGCGGGCCCCTCGCTCCGCACCCGAGCGATTCCAGCAGCAGCGACGGGAAGGACCCGCCCGGCAGAGGAGCAGCAGAGAGCGGGGCTGTGCCCTCACCTGCTCCTCGGACACGGCTGCTGCCCACCCGTGACACCGAGAGACAACACGGGCCTTGTGTCCAGGGCAGGGCAGAGAAGGCCCGGCCCGAGCAGGGCCCCGTGTCCGCACCAGCCCCGCGCAGGGAGCACCCGCGGCCCGCCCGGGAACCGCCGGGAGCGACGGAACGCGAGCGGCCCCCGAGCGCCGGGGTGGCTCCACCCGGGCTCTGCCGGGGCCGGCCCCGCTCCCCCCGCCCGCCTCCCAAACCCCCCGAACCTCCACCGCCGCTGTCCCGCTCAGGGCCAGCACCGGCACCGGGAACCGGCACCGGGAACCAGCACCGGACACCGGGCAACCGGCACCGGGAACCGACACCGGGCAACCGGCACCGGACACCGGGAACCGACACCAGGCAACCGGCACCAGGCACCGGCCCGGGCTCGGACCCCGTGGGCCGGGCGGCAGGGCCAGGCCGGGCCGGGCCCACTGCCCGACACCCCCGAGCCCCGGACAGCCCCAGGCCCGGCGGCTCCGCAGCCCCCCGGGCCCTCAGCCCCCTCCGGGAGCTCCCCAGGCCGCCGCCCGGCGGTCCCCAAACCCCCGCCCAGGCCCGGCCCTTGCCCCCCGCAGACCCCCGGGAGGAGGAGGAAGAGGAGGACGAGGAGAAGAAGGAGGAAGAAGAGGGTGGGGAGCGGGAGCCTCACCGGGAGAGGTGCTTCAGGATCTGCTTCTTGATGATGCCCGCCATGCCGGGCCGGCGGGTCAGGCCCGCGGGCGGCGGGACCCCATCGCGCCCCGCCCGCCCCCCCAGGCCACGCCCCCTTCCCGCACGGCCCGCCCCCTTCGGCCCCGCCTCCTTCCCGCACGGCCCGCCCATCAGGCCATGCCCCCTTCGGCCACGCCCCTTCAGGCCACGCCCCCGCCGCAGCCGCGCTCGGTTGAGGGGCGGCCCCGGGACCCCGGACCCCTCCCGGGAGATCCAGGGACCACCCCGAGACCACCCCCGTCGGCCCTGAGCCCCCCACCTATATCCTTCCCCGGGAGAGGGTCCAGAACAAGGCTCAGAGTCTGTATGGAAACAACATCAATGTTTTATTGTTATTTTTACGACTCAGCGGGGGGTAAAATTTAACACAACTAAAAAGAACGCCCCAAAAGCCAGACCCCATCCAGCAGTCAGTGCAGGGTGTGTCCATGCTGAGGGGGCGGCACAGCCCCTGCACGCACCCAGGACGAAACCCCAGGGACGTGGGTCTGTGGTGTTTGCCACGGGGAAGATCCCAATATGAAAAGGCAGCTCCATTTCCACCTTTATCTGTCTGGACGGGTCATTCCCGGCCTGGTTGGCACCATCATGGGTCTGGAGGGGGGTCTCATCATCGGGGGCCCTGGCATCATGGGCATGTGTCCTCCCATGGGGGGCCTCATCCCGGGGGCTGCCGGGGGAAGACAGGACGTTAGAGAACATTGGGAACAGCAACTGCCCAGTCACCACAGAGCACTGAATGCTTTGCATTGGAAGGGACCTTAAAGACCTATTTCCAGCCCACTCCACGGGCAGGGACACATTCCACTATCCCAGGCTGCTCCAAGCCCTGTCCAACCTGGCCCTGCACACTTCCAGAGACGGGGCAGCCACAGCTTCTCTGGGCAACCTGTGCCAGGGCCTCCCCACCCTCACAGAGAGAAATTCCACACTGTACAGCAGGCAGGTTCTCTCCCCCCATCAAGGAACTTCCAGTCTGGAAGCTGCTGAGATGGATTCTGTTCCCTGAAGGAGCTCAGCCATCAGCAGAGGAGGAACCAAGCTCCTGGGTTACACACCCACCCTGACAATATTCACCGGTAAATTATTTCCAGTCACGAGAGAGACACGTGAGCTTAATTACTGATCTGGAGAGTTTGTTTGGAGAAAAGTGCTGCAAAACCCTCCCATGTGCCCATAAACAAGCACTGGGCACCTCTTCCAGCCGGGAAAGAGCACGGCCAGGGAAAAGCATGGGCTTTGCTGCACAGCCCTGAAATAATGGTTTCCATCCCACTTTGCCATTTATTTTCACCAGGCTGCTGAATATTGCAGATTGTGTACTTATCTTGTGCTTTAAAAACACTTACAGAACACTTTCTACCACAAGACAATAATTGCAAAGACACTTCACTACTCTCAGTGCACATGTGTGTGTTCCTGTAGAGCTGTTCTGGGAAATGCTCCAGTAACACATCCCCTGAGAATTCTTCAAATGCCAGGAAACTCAGGAGCAGAATGGATCAAAGACCTTTTAGTTTGCCTTTACAGTTCTAAAAAAAAGCTTTTTCAGGCCCATTATTTCTCGAGAACACGTTATCTTGAGACATTTTAAACAGTGAAATTCATTTAGTGCAGAAACATGCCCCTTGTGCAAAACCTGAGAGCTGCAGACACCAAATTCCTAAAATATTACTGCTCAGAGCAGAGGAGGAACAGCTACAGCTTCCCAGAGCCATAATTTCAGCTGTGCAGGGAGGGCTGGTAACTCTCAGCCAGGAGTTAGGGGGCTTTAATACTCATTAAAGGTTGTAAGACTGTTGTGTGCCCCCCACGCAGGGGGTAACAGTGACAGAGGTGTGAGCAGAGTGTGCCCCCAGCCCAGCCCAGCCCTGCTCCCCACAGCTCAGTCACCAGTGGGTCAGGACACCCCCCCCCAGACCCTCCAGCACCCCTGACAGAGTCACCCCATCCCAGACTTACCGGGTCCCACTGGCATCATTCCTGGAGGGGGTGGGCCCATCATTGGCATCATCGGGGGCCCCCCCATGTGTGGGGCTGGCATCATCCCGGGCCGGGGGGGACCAGCTGGACAGAGACAGTTACACACTGCAGGCAGCCAGCACCCACAGGCAATGCAGTCACTCACTCTCACGGCACAGGGCAGTAACTAAGGCCTTGGGGGCTTTACATCTGCCTCCCTCACTGCCAGCCCCGATTCCAGGGGCCAGGTGACCCAGAAGAGGAATATCCTGGCTGCCACCTCCAGCTGTGCACACCCAGTGCAGGGAACTGCCACTCCTAACAGCAGGACTTGGGGCTGGAGCTCTCTCGGCCCTTTGCCAGCTCAAATGCAAAATTATTCTATTTCAAAAACCCAACCCAAACCCATGCAGCACTGGCAGTTCTGATGGAGCCGCCTGCACGGGAGCCCCCACAGATGGAGGGGCTCTCACTGCTGCTGACAGTCTGAGCACCCCTGAAATCAGACACACCAGGGACTGGGGTGCTGCCGGGCTGCCCCCACGCAGAATTCCCCCACACTCAAGCTCAAAATGTCTTGACTTGGTTTCAAGCTAAAAGGACTTTTCTTTCCGGGTCAAGGCCACAAGCCCCACACCTCAGGAGGGCCGTGGCCTCAGCCCCAAAGTGCCAGGTGAGACTTACGGATGCTGGGAGGAGGCGGGATCATGGCTCCGGCCGGAGGGGGTGCCGAGAACGGCGTCGGTGGGATTTTCCCTTGCTGGAATGCAGCCGCTACATTGGGGGGGAAAAGAAAAAAAAAAAAAAGGAAAGAAAGAATCCCAGGGAAAAAAAAACCAGTTACTAGGCCGAGGAAGCGCCGGGGGACTCGTCCGCTCATGCCCCGCGGAGAGAACATCGCGTCATGCAGCCGACTCCGGACACGTCCCTGCGGGCGGGAGCACCTGGCACTCCTGGAGACAATCACTGTTACACGGGGACAGGGGGCTCCGGGGGGGGTCACACCCCCAGGGCACCCAGGACAGGAACACCACACGCACGGCGGGATCCGCAGCGCTCCACCGGGACATGCTGTGCTGGAATGGCAACGGGGCAAGGGCTGGGAGGGACGGGGAGCAGGGAACGGGGGGAAGGCAAGGGCAGAAATTCAAAAGGCTGGAGTGGAGCAGGAGGAAGGTGAAAGGTGGGAAGGTTGGAAGCATCACAAGGGAAATGGGCAAAAGGAAACGGAATGAGGATGCGTCGGGGGAAGCCCAGACGGGAGGTTTTAGGAACAGAGGGTGGTGGGACACTGGAACACTCCCCTGGGAAGTGGGCACAGCTCTGGGCCTGCCAGAGCTCAGGAAGCGTCTGGGTGATGCTCTGAGTCACAGGGCTTAGTCTTAGGCAGTCCTGCACGGACCTAGGAGTGGGAGCAGTGACCCAAAGGGGTCCTTTCCAACTGAAGATATCCTGTGATCCAAGGAGAGCTGCCACAAAGTCAATCTGGTGTTTGTATTGCTTTCACAGAGAGAAGAAACAAGGGGAAAAGGGCCCCAGGAACTGACACAGAACACACACACTTCAGTCAAGGCTTTAAGAGCAAGGGAAAAACATCCCTTGGGAACTGAGGGTGAGTAACCCCAGAGCGTGAAAAACACAACAATGCAGACGTTTTAACATCTGCTTTCCTATCTTTTGGAACTCCTATTCACGCTCTTCACACAAACATGTCACTACCAGGGAGCACAAGTGGTTGTGTGACCCTGTGGGACACCACCAGAGACAGAGACCCTGCCCCAGGCCTGGGCGGGAAACCTCAGCTCCTGGGGGGTGGGCAGAGCCCTCGGGCTCCCCCAGGGATGGGCAGAGCCCCAGGGGGTGGGCAGAGCCCTCAGGCTCCCCGGGGCAGCCCACTCTCTGAAGAGCTCAAGATCAAAACTCCAAGTGAAGTTTTCACTCGTGACTTCCCCAGGGCAGTGAGAAGGAGTTGAGGCGGGAGCAGGGAAGAGCAGTCAGAGGAGAGGCAGGGGAGGGCAGGGGTGTCACGGAAGGATTGGCCTTACTTGTTTTGTCAATCAGGCTCTGGGCCTGCTCCTCCATCCATTTCTGGTAATAGTCCTTCACATTCTCCTTGTGCTTCCGGCCACTGCAGTGGGTTTTCCTCACGGAGGGCTGGGAAACATCAGAGAAACCTAGAGATTACTGAGGACTCAGTGTGATTTTAAACACAGGCAATTCAGCAGCACAAAGCAGCTTGGCTTGTGCCCAGTCAGAGGACGGGAGATGCGCAAAACCTTTGTGTGATAAGTGTTGACCCCCCAGTTTAAGCAGAAGGTGCCCCGAGGGCCCTCCAGCTGCCTCCCCCGGACCCCCGCGGGCACCGGAGCGTCACTGCCCCGCTGGGAGGGCCGGGAACACGGCACGGCCTCTTGTGGCCGGAAGCAGGAGACAATAAGTGACACCACTTATGTCACGAGACGTGGTCTTAGCCCGAGTAAGTTTATTTTGATGTTCTTGGTACTCACCGAGTCATGGGTGAGGTACGTGTCGCAGTAATCGCAGTAAAACCTGCAGAGGAAAAAGCGGGTTACTGAGAGCCCCCCCTTGCGCTGTGAGCCCCGGATCGACCCCGCGTGGCTCGGCCGGGCCGGGCTGGGCTGGGTTCGGTCTGCCCGGCCCGTTCCCCGGTCTCCCCGGCCCCGGTCCCCCCGTTCTCACTTGGGCATGGTGCTCCCGCCGCCGCCAGACGGAAGTGACGCATGCACGCACTGACGCAATCACGCAGCGCCGCCGCTTGTCCCCCGCGGGCCGCCGTAGGGCCCGGAAGGGACGATGGGCAGGCCCCGCCCCCGGTCACGCCACCGCTCCCCGCCCAGGGGCCCGGCAGCGCCCGCACCGCCCCCCGTGTACAGCGCGCGGGGTTCGCTGCTGCCCGCGGCGCTGCCGGGACAGAGGTGGCCCCTCCGTGTTCTCCTCACGGGAAACACCCCCTGCCCCGGGTCACGGAGCGGCCTCGCGCGGCCGAAAAATGCGGGAAAAGCGTCATTTTGTGAAGGAAAAAAAACACCAAGCGATTTCCCGGCGGGCCTTGCGCAGCCGCATTTGCATGGCGACGCGTGACGTCACAGCGATTAATTTGCATGCGTAATCCCGCGGGCCGCGCCGCCGCCATATATGGAAGGCAGCGCGCGGCGGGGGGCGGGGCCGCCCGCCGGTGACGCAGCGCCCCAGCGCGGAGCCCGCGCGTCACGCCCGGACGTCATTTGCATACGAGGCCTCCGCCCCCTCGTCCTTGCCGCGCTCCCTGCCTTGTCCGCGGGCGCGCGGCCCCGCCCACCCCGCGCGCGCGCGGTGACGTCAGCGCGGCGGTGACGCCTCGGCGCCGCGCGGG